ATGGATGCATATTTGGTAGAATTTCCTTGCTCTTATGCATTAGTTATGCTGTTTTTGCATGATGAAAACTTTGATATGAAGAAGATTGTGCTGGAGCTCACTGTTGTCATAAGATTGAAACCAAAAGTTTCAAAAAGTAATGGGAATTTGTATGGCTAACCCACCAACTGAGGGGCTTAGAGAGAACTTTTCTAATGGGTGGGCATCCCATCACATCCGTTAACTTAGTTTTGTTCACATTTTCTGAAGCTGTTGTATACTGTTGTCACAACCCAAAGTTGTGGTTTTTTTGTTTGAGTGTGCTTCGGCACCGCTAAATTGTGTTCCCGCTAAATTGCAGCTCTTTTGCACGGTGGAGTGTTCTGCTGTAATAGAGAACCCACGTGCAGGAGAGTATTTCCGGCCAGTTTTGTAGCCTTCTTTGCATGGTGCATTTCTTTTGCATTATAGTGATGTACGATGCAAAGGAGTTCCCGCCATTTGTATTAAGATTTCTGTCACATTATTGGCCAATCTTAATATAGGCACACGTGGCGGCTAGCTATTGGCTTGCTAGCCGTACAAAAGGCTTGGGTAGTTTCCGCCCAAGTCGGAGAGAGAGAAAGCACATGGCGTTCGGGAAAAGAGCGTGAAGATCTCTAAGCGCTGCTGATCCCTTTGAACCCAGCTTTTTCCTTAAGAGGGCAACAGAGGTTTAATTTGCTGAACCCACGGAGCTTCAACAACTCCGGGGAACCTATTTACCGAACCCTCGGAGCCTTAACAACTCCGGGGCCAATAACCTCTAGCCTCTCCCCGTCGTCGAGCGCAACCCTAGACGTATCCCTATCCTATGGATCCAAGTTTCGAACCCACGGAGTCTTAACAGCTCCGGGGGACCTGGGAACTGAACAAAACCCACGGAGATTCAGCTGCTCCGTGAGAGAGAATTGTTAAACCCGCGGAGCCTAAAACACTCCGGGGTCAAGGAACCAAGTCTATCAGAGTCCTCCAATGAGAACTCAAGCGGAGCTGCGCCTGGAAAGCTGACCAGCCTACACCGCGACCACCTTGGGTGTAAGTAAATAATCTTTTCAATCAACCATTACGCCTCCGTGACTGATTCTAGCTCGAGCGTACCATACCGCGCCGCGGTTTTCTCTGGCCCTGCGTGCCCGGGCTGCTGGCCACAGCCTGTGTGCACAAAGACGGGCCCAG